CGCCATCACACCTTTTTCTCTATCATTGGCTATTACTTTGTGAACACATTTACACTCAAAAAACTGTACTGGTTTCAGTTTCCTGTGCTAATAATGCAAGAAAAAAAATCCATTGGTCACATCCTGTCTCCCATCCTGGTGTGAGGATCCAGGCAACTGCCTTGCAGGAACAACGAAACCCAGGAAGGAGCGTGAGAGATCTGTAGGCAGATCTTTCTCTGTCAAGGGGGCACATCCGTCCAATAATCTACCAAATCAGACTGGACCTGTCCAGAATTTGACCACTTTGAGCACATGCTGCCAGACCCCGTGGCTTGGACAAAGCTTTCACACTAGAGCTAAAAAACGTAGAGGAAAGGAAAGAACAGAGCCACGAACTTGTCTACTCCAGATACACACGGGAGAAGGAGAAGAGCAGAAATCTGATGAAATCCATTGGGGACCTCATCTTGAAGACCTAATTTACCAGAGAAGCCCTTGGGCAGTACAACAATTGGCACTAAATGAAGTCTGCAGACAGATGCCTCTTGAACATGATTGTTACAGGTACAAGTGTAGACCAAGGAAACGGTACAGTAAAACTCCGATGGTCCGGCATCTGACGGTCCAGCACTCCTGATGGTCCGGCACCATCAGGAACCCGGAAGTGCTCCGGGCAGCTGGACCATTGGAGCTGCTCTGCCCCCAGCTTCCCAGATTCAGCCGCTGCTAAAACTGACCAGCAGCTGAATCGGGGAAGCCGGAGGCAGAGCAGCTGGGGCGCTGCCGGGTAGGTCCCGTAGCGCTGCCCCTCGGGGCTGCGGGACCAACCCAGCAGCACCCCAGCTGCTCTGCCCCAGGTGTCCCCAAGTCAGCTGCTGCTGAAACTGACCAGCGGCTGATTCCAGGCTTCCTCTGCCTTTGGCTTCCTGGAGTCAGCCACTGATCAGTATCAGCAGCGGCTGACTTGGGGACGCCTGGGGCAGAGCCGGACTATCGGAAGGGGGGGCTATAAGGGGTCTTGGGTGGGGGGGATGCCACCCTAGACCCCTCATAGCCCCCCCTTCCGATAGTCCGGCTCTGCCCCAGGCATCCCTGATTCAGCCACTGCTGAAACTGACCAGCAGTGGCTGAATCGGAGACGCCTGGGGCAGGGCAGTGGGAGTGCTGCCGGGTTGGTCCGGTAGCGCCGACCCTTGGTGCAGCAAGACCAACCCGGCAGCACCCCAGCTGCTCTGCCCCAGGCATCCTCAAGAGCAGCTGGGGTGCTGCTGGGTTGGTCCCGCAGCGCCACTCCTTGGCGCTACTGGACCAGCCTGGCAGCACCCCAGCTGCTCTGCCCCAGGCATCCTCAAGAGCAGCTGGGGTGCTGCCGGGTTGGTCTTGCTGCACCAAGGGTCGGCGCTACCGGACCAACCCGGCAGCACTCCCACTGCCCTGCCCCAGGCGTCTCCGATTCAGCCGCTGCTGGTCAGTTTCATCAGCGGCTGAATCAGGGACGCCTGGGGCAGAGCCGGACTATCGTAAGGGGGGGGCTATGAGGGGCCTGGGGTGGCATCCCCTCCCACCCCACTCCAGACCCCTCATAGCCCCCCCTTCTGCTAGTCCGGCATATCTGATCAGAAGTTTACTGTACTTTAAAAAGATGGGTGCTAATATTTTAATCTACCTATTTGGTAATCTTGAAATGTTGGACTAAAATTAAATAACTTCTAATTGAAATGGAATTAAAGTAACAAGTAATATTAATACGTTTATAATGAACTTGTGGTTTGCTGCAGGATCAAATACATTCAGAATCACAGGCCCACAACACCAGTTTTGACAGCCAGTTTCTGATTCCTACAGAGACTGAGCTGACCTGCGCTCCTGCACCTACACATCCACTAACATGCTAGATGCCTTGAAGTGCCAGCAATGCCCCTCTGCTACGCATACTGGCCAAACCGGACAGCCTGTGCACCAAAGGATAAATGGACACAAATCAGACATGAGGAGTGGCAGCCTCACATGGGGCCGGAAGTGGCAGCCAAGGGCTCACGAGGGTAGGGAGTCAACAGCCCAGCACGGGGCCAAAAGCAGCCACTCCAGCCCACCGTTTAATCGGTTAACCTGTTCAACTTAATGTTTAACCGGTTAAGTAAATAGATGGGATTTTACATCCCTATTTCCCAGTGTTCGACATGGTCTCTGGAAGGAAAGTTAGATTTCTATCTGCTGGGAGTAAATGGGGTTCAGCCAATCACAATTCATGGTGGGGTGAAGGAGGTGCTATAGTCACCAGTTTAATCGGGAAAAGGGTCAGTTTATAAACCTTCACCCAAGACCCTAGTCGTCTGAAGTAACAGCAGCGACATCTCTTCCGCTAACCTATCAACAGCAAATTCTGGACTCTGTGCAACGTTTTATGGGAACTATAATTTTGATTTCCCAGTATCTGAATCAGGCAGAACTAAATTAAGACCAACATCACACGTGCAAGCAAGCAATAACGAATACAATCTAAACTAATTACCATACAGAGAGCTTGAAAGAGCCTGAAGAAGCACTGTTTCAGAACTGCAAGTCTATGTACGATCAAGAACGGTAGATGTGAGTCAGCATGCTTTTCTATACATACCCTCGTTTGCACAGAATTAATACAACATTGATGGACTGTCACAGTTTCCAGTCCACATTCAAATCCAGAAACAGAAATCTTGCATGGCAATTACATTACACACAACAGTGTCAGAAAACAAGTACGACAAATCCCTAACTTCGCTACAAGTAAGCATTTAATAGAAAACTCTTAAAAACTAAAAAAAAAAAATTCTCACTTCGCTATATGGCCATAAGCATTTCAATCAAAGCAAGACAATGAAAACCTTTCTGTGTCCAGGCAAAACCAGGAGAACACTTACACGACACAGATCATCACCTGCGTAAGTGGGATGAAACCCACAGTGAGGATGTGTCGTGTTTAGCACTATACGATTAGTTTTTGAAACACCTGAGACAAGTACAAAGGGATTTTTTTTTTAAATGGACAACAGCAGAGATACCCGACAGCCCCATCACATAGGAATGGTCTAGACAGTGCTTGGTCCTGCCGTGACGGCAGGAAACTGAACTTGATGACCTCTTGAGGTCTCTTCCAGTTCTAGAGTTCTATGATTCTTAATAAAATAAACACCCCTCAAACCCTAGAAAGCTGAGCTCTCCATGGGTTTTGAAACACCCTGGCCTGATTCCAGTCTGATACACTGAGTCCACTGGACTCAAATAACCTTCATAAGGCAACCTTGTGACTCTCCTAGTTAGGGACTTAGCTGAGACGGCTTGTCATCATGACATGCTGCAGAGTGTAAGAGCCCTTACTTTATACTAGAAAGCACACGCTGCTTGGCTATGACCTTTGCCATGAGATTATTGTTGGAGAATGGCTCTGACAGTTGGATTTAGCATTGGATGAAACACGGTCACTGGTGGACTTTAAAGGCTGTCATCTATTCCCGAGAAAATCCAAGAGATTAAAAATGTAGTGCATGGCCTAAGCTTCATATTAATACATAAGGAAAAAACGACATGAAAAATACTCTCCTAACATCGCCTTGGGTATCACAGCTTTCCCCAGCGAACCAAATGTAAATAAACTGAAGGGACAGTAACGGACGGAAAAATAAATTTTCCACATAAATTATAATTTATCATTAGTCATTTTGCTTTTTAATTAAGAACCAAGTTAAATATTTGCTTTGTGTAGGCAGCACACAAAACAACATCTCCCGCATGGCGGTCTTCACTTACACAGCGGGCTGGGGTTAACAGAACTCAGGCAACCACATGAAAAAACCAAGAGCTTAAGAACGTCCAGACTGGGTCCGACCAAAGGTCCATTCAGCCTAGTATCCTGTCTGCCGACAGTGGCACCCAGGAATGAATGAACAGAACAGGAAATCATCAAGTGATCCATCCGCTGTCACCCATTCCCGGCTTCTGACAATCCAAGATCAGGGACACCATCTCCACTAATAACCATAAATGGACCTGTCCTCCGTGAATTTATCTAGCTCTTTGTTGAACCATGTTATAGTCTTGGCCTTCACAACATCCCTTGGCAAGGAGTTCCACAAATCGGCTGTGCTTCAGCTGAAGAAACCGTTCTGTTTACTTCTGGACTATCTTCCAACATGAAGACCCTCCAACTCTTTACAACTCTGCACAGCAACACTGACATGTGGACAATGTCTGAGAGCAGCCAACTGGTACAAGGCACACTGCACGACCACAGGTGTAGGATGAGCTAAAGCTTTTTTGAACCCTGGTATAATCTTGGCCTTCACAACATCCTCTGGCAAGGAGTTCCACAGGCTGACTGTGCACTGTGTGGAGAAATACTTTGTTGTGTTGGTTTTAAACCTTCTGCCTATTCATTTCCTTTGGTGACCCCTATGTCTTATCTTTTGAGAAGGAGTAAATAACACTCTCTTATCTAGTTTCTCCACACCAGTCACGTTTCCATAGATCTTCACCATCATCCCCCGCCCGCCTCGCCATCTCTTTTCCAAGCTGAAAAGTCCCAGTCTTCTTCATGTGGAAGCTGTTCCACCCTCTTTTTGTCCCCCCCTGTATTGAACCTTTTTCAATATATCTCTTTTGAGATGGCACCCATCTCTGCACACAGTATTCAAGATGTGGACATACCGTGGATTTATACAGAGGCAGTAAGATACTTCCTGTCTGTACCTGCCCCTACAATTAAGAACCAAAACAGGGCACATGTGGGCAAAAATTTTAAGATGCACCAACTCATGAGAGTCAGAAACAACTTCTTCATTCCACCATCCAGGCTAACCACCCTGTCACGGAAGTGTAATTGCTGTGAAAAATGTGGTCACGTCCAAAACCCTGGCTCAAAACCCCAGTGTAAGGGTGCACTCTAGCGATGCCCCTCACTTGGATCAGTTGCCACATTCAAGTAGAGCAATTCTTCCAGGCACTGACACCACCTTAGTAATATTTAAAGAATGCCGACTCACCCTTACGAGACTTGGAGCAATACATGAGCATGGTATCCTCACATGCTTCAGGCACTTTTCGTGGGACATAAAGTTGCAAACTGTGAAAATAAAACATTGCACATTTCAAAACTGAGACTGTTCTTTCTCCCCTTCCCCCGCAGAGCAGATCAAACACAATCACGTGCCACTGTGAGTTTGTGGGTTAACAGCCAAGCAGGGATGGGCAAGATACAGCCCAGAGGCCGGATGTGACCCTCCTAACACCGATCTAGCCCGTGGACTGCATCCGGCTGCTTTCTATTTATATCCGGCTGCTCGTGCCACTGAATTTCCAGGCGGTGGCTCAGGCAGCAGGATCCTATTGAAATGGCTCTTGGTCACGGTGCTACCCCGGCAAGGGCTGGAGCCGGAAGCCCTTTAAATAGCCGCAGCAACCCCGGGCAGCTTCCAGGCAACATGGGAACAGCAGGCGAGGCCCAGGAGTCACGAGCCCTCTGCCCTGTTTTTACTTCAAACTCTGGGGGGAGGTTTTTACCCAGGATACGGCTCAAGTGGGTGGGTCCGGGCCTGCTGACTGGGACCCGGCGATACCAAAGGGCAGTGGGGTGGCCAGAATCCCAGCCCCTTTAAATCGATGCTGGAGTTCCGCATGGTACATTCCGGGCGGCCTGGCCCCAGCCCCGCCCCTTCCACCTGAAGCCCCGCCCTTTCCAGCAACATGGAGCAGGGGGTCCGGCAAGGCTGTCAGCGCTGCTGGGTGGAGCTGTGTACAGAGGAATTCTTCCCCCAACAATTCCTGACACGGAGAGGGGGTTTGTGGTGGATAAAGTGCGGAATCCACTGGAGCAGTGAAGAAAGCGAAGACAAAGCACAGGCTGCACAGAGCCTTGAAAAAGAACAGCACTTTTTATTGCATTAGTAATTAGCAACACTTCCCTGTACATTTTACTACAATTAATAAAGATATTATTAATACCAGCAAAGAGCTGGGGATTTCCCCTCCCCTGCATCTTGCTTTGCAGACTCAAAAATAAAAACATCATAGCACCCCAGATGCTTCATTGACATGGGTTCTAGCACACCTTGCATCTCAACTCCTGGTCCAGGAACCTCTGGAAGGAGTTTTGTGATCGGTGAGCATTGGTATGGGATCAAACCAAGAGCCAGTATTTTGAACACAAAGTCTCAGAAATACACAGTTTTAAGGAAAGCTCATGGAGCAATTGCTTGGGGGGGAAAAGAGACACTGTCCAACAGCGTGAGGCTATTTATATAGAGGCGTATTGCTGAATATTAAAAGTAACCAGGGGATATTACGAGGGATACAGCTGAACAAGAAATGTACTCCCTGCCACTCATTATCCGTGTAGCGTCACTAGCTGGGATTATTTAGGCATTATTGGGCCAGCTGGTTAATGTTATACGCAGCTCAGTGTAGTCAAGATCACACAGTGCCACTTGGACCAGGATGATCAACATACTACTGTAAATTCCCAGAACTTGACAAACCACAGCGAGTTTGCAGACATTTCGAAGCATTGGCAACTTTGAGAGACATTAACCACAAAAACAGGTTACTTGCAACCTCCATAACTCTCTGCAGAATGCCTTCCCCGATACCTTCCCCGACGCACAACATGTGTTTCCCGCCACATGGTGCCTAGGGTGGCGTCAGACTCCACAACTGATAAAAACCAATTAAAATACAATTTGCTTATTGCTATTTGGCATCAAATCTATAAGACTGGCAAGACGTTCATCTGTCTTCTCATTCATTTGATCAGCTTGCCTGAGCAAGGAAGAACACTGCATCACCCAAAGACTCCCTAGGAAGGTTGTGGAATCCCCATCACTGGAGATATTTAAGAGCAGGTTAGACAGACACCTGTCTGGGATGGTCTAGATGGTGCTTGGTCCTGCCGTGAGGGCAGGGGACTGGAGTTGATGACCTCTCGAGGTCCCTTCCAGTTCTAGCATTCTATGATTTTTATTGAACTGCAAGACAGTTCTGTACAGAGAAGAAGTAGGAATTCACAGAAGACAAACAGCAAAAGCGACATCCGAGATCAGATGAACCATTTTCCATCAACACACCAAATGCTTTACAGGGTTCCACATAGTTCCTCTACAGATTTCTAAGAAAAAATCTTTACTGAGGGAAACCAGAGAAGATGCCCTAGTTCTGGTAAGATACGCTTTGAGACCTTTTAGTATGTGTACAAAATCCTTGTCATTCTCAATTCATGCAAACAGACAATCTACACCAAGACAGATTTCTTCTCAGCTAATAGGCAACAAAAGGTGGAGAAACAGCTTACAAAAAAACTTTATAGGAGAAAATGATTCCATTAAATAAGTATCCAGTTGCATACAAGGGGTGGTCAAGGAGTATCACGGAGCCCGGGGGAATGTCCAGAGGTGGCATTAAGGAGTAACGCCAACAATAGAAATTTTAGGCCAGGTTTAAACGGAAAGGTCAAATTAAGATATGCAGCTCCAGCTACATTAATTATGTAGCTGGAGTCAATGTACCTTGATCTGAGTTTCCCTGCCATCCCCACAGTGGAAGGGCAACAGCAGCAAATGCTCCCAACGGCTTCCCTTAGTCTTCTCAGAGCAAGAGTTCTGGTGCCTTCAGAGTTTGATTTAGCAGGTCTTTACTAGACCTGATAAAACAAATTCCGAAAGATTGATCTCCCCCAGAGTGAAGACACGGCCTCAGGCAAGAACAATGTTCCATCGCATCAGTTTTTCATCATGGTAATAAGGGAGTGAGACATAAGCACTTGCACTTTACTGAGCTAGCTCAGATGAGTACAGACAAAAATGGCCCATTTCAGAACAAATGCTAATACGTGTAAAATTTTGTAAAGGCAATTGATTTGGTTCCCAATAAAAGCATAAAAAGCCAGGAGCCAGCAAGAGCTATCACCAGGGACCTGGCAGTAACTCTTTGCTTAGGCTGAGCAGCATGTTCCATAACAAAAAGTTAGTTCGACTTTTTTTGTGTGAAGTTCTCCCAGGTCCATTGTTTGTAGCCAGACTTGGAATTCAGCAGGGAACAAAGCTCTCTGACAGCAACCTGCCCTTTCTTTGTCTCAGGAAACTCCACTCTGGGTTAGGCAAGGCATCCACTGCTAACTCCCCCACTTCCCTTCCCTCTCCTTTCCTCAGAAAACGTTGGTGGCCTGCCAAAAAACACAGTCGCCTATGGGATATCCTAAAAGGTGGGGTCCAGCCTTCCACCAGGGCCGCAGCACCGCAAGCTGCTCTAGAACTCCCAAGAGCTGCCAGAACAAGGCTGGACCTGACCCATGACGGCCACAGCGCTTTCTCTTTCCTCCCCAGGAGGGCAGCTTTGGCACCTAATGCAGTTACTTCTGTTAAGTTCACATGCCTGCCTTGGCAGAATGAGGACATGCTAGATTTCCCCGTCCATGCAGCCTTAATTCCACCCCAGCATACAAATCCTAATTACACAATTGCATCCCGGGGGGGTAGAGCCTTGCACAAGACAATTTTTTTTTTAATCCCAGCTCCGTCCTGCCCCACAATCCCCGTGGCACACAATTAGGGTTCTGGTTTTTCCGTTTGATCTCTTTTCTGTAAGGTTTATTGAGAAGCCGTCCTATTCCAGGGTCATCCTATTTTTCTGGCTCACCTCAGTTCGGTCTCTTTCAACATCCGCTCAGTTATGTCAATGTTGAGGGCTGTACTTCCTTTGGTGATTCTCTTTTCTGTTTGGTTTTCTGAGAAGCAATCCTGTTCCAGGCACATCCCATTGTCCTGGCACAACCAAACCCCGATTGTGCTTTACATTATGGTAAGAGGAATTTGGTGGTCCTAGCTCTTACCATTAAAGAAGACTTGGTCAAACAGACAAACTTGCTAAAATATATAGTAAATTATTTCATATTCCTAAGGGAAAAAAAGACTGAAATATTTGTGTTTTCCTACCTTAATTTAGCAAATTGAGACATTTTTCAAAAGCTAGACACCTAGGAGAAACTGGGGGCATGGCTAGGCAATTATGGTATGAGTGACTCTTCAGAGTGCCTCTGTTTGCCCTTGAGTCAGGAAGGCGGGAGGTACGCATTGGGAACTGCTGTGTCTTATTCACGCGCTGTGATACGCCTTCTAGTAAAACTAGAACTATTTATAAGCTCGATTGTGCCACACTTGCTCACATCCTATCGCATTTCCTCCCAGCCCTGACGGCACAGTTCAAGGCTGGTTCCAGAAAGGAAACCCGGCAAGGCAGATCACGGAGACCCATCCTGTGTGATGCAGGCAGGACGGCTGACTCACATGCAAACAGAGGGCAGGGTTAGAGCTACCCCAATAATAGCTACTAGTAACAATTTGGGATTTCTGCAGGAGCGTGCAGAAATGCCTTGGGCCTGTACCTGACAATTCCATTTCTTTTTTTCCCCCGCCTGAGTTCTTCTTGCATTTACCCACACCCACAATAAATGCACTTGAGGAATCCTAGAACCCCAGAGCTGGAGGAGACCTCAGGAGTCATCGAGTAAAACCCCCTGCCCAAAGCAGGACCAACTCCAACTCAATCAACCCAGCCAGGGCTTTGTGAAGCCAGGACTTAAACACCTCTAGGGATGGTGATTCTATCATCCTGCAGGAGCTGGCCCAAGAAAGGCAGCCGAAAAGCGAAGAGATCAGTGGGTTCACTTTCTAATTCACACATAGTTCATGTTTATGACTGCAGCCAATGCACTAAGGCCCAACCCCTGCACGGTTTATTTTGCCACTGGGAGTGGTCGCGGGCTTGGTCTAATACCCACTGGAGTCAACGGAAGAACTCCCATGACTTCACACTGGGTTTTGGAGCAGATGTCCTGTCCCCGATCAGGGGAAAGGAGGCAGGTGTGAGCAGACTCTCCAGCGCTTTCTTAAATCCCGGCCTACCACGGACATGGTCACCACGGTTCTGCATGCTCTGGAGACTCTGGGAGACAGGACACAGGGCTAGATGGACCACTGGTCTGACCCCACAGGGCCGTTCTTATATTCGCCATCGTGGAAGACACACCAGGGACTGAATTGTGTCCCTCCACAAGCCACCAGGAGCCCCGTGGCA